GCAGGCCAGAGCACCCTGCAGACAGAAGCTGCTCCAACCTGGCCAGAGCAGCCCCCTGCCCACAGCAGGCTGAGAGCTCCCCTAGCTCCCACCGGTTAACCAGGTAAACATTCATATCCCCAATTTGAAATGCTTCAGGTATATGTATCCTAGAAGTGCTGTGGTGGCACCGTAGTGTAGCTACTTCGTACAGCAGTGAAAACATTTCCATCTCTATAGTAAATCCACCACCTCAACAGGTGACAGCTGTGGAGATAATGGAAAAATCCTTCCATTGACCTAGCTGCAGCTACATTTTTACAGCCTTGAGAAATGCAGCTTGATTGATCAATGTTTTAGGTGCAGTGTAGGACTTTGTTACTGTAACACCTAATGGCTGTTTGGTGCTCCACAGATTCAATATACCCCCAGCTTTCTTAGGAGACTTAAGTTTAATCTCTAAGGTTCTAAGTATTCATATTGGCTCTGATTTGGATACAGTGTAAATCTTTGGGAGAGTAACTTGTGATTTATCTTAGAGTGAAAGAAGAAATTGACCCTGTGTGAACTCTGCTGTAACATCTGCAGGGTATTCCAGATGCCCAGTTCTGCAGCCCTTACTCGAGTGAATAACATTTAGCCATGTAAGGAATCCCATTGAAGCCAATAGTATTAGTGAGCTTTTCAGAATCAGATCCCAAATTAAGTACCATGAAAATATGGACTGATCTTGTAGCTAGCAAGAATCTCACTAAAAGCCAGTGGCAGACACCTGCCTGCAAATGGACTTTGGCTTCAGAGACTGCAACCAGAGTAGCCTCTGGTGAATAAATGGACTGTGTGTTTCAGTCAGTAAAAGTGTTACACTGTTTCTGGTTCCCTCTAGCTCAAACTCAGAGGTTTAAAATCCAGAATTCCTCTGAACAGGAATAAATGTGGCTAACACTGAACACCTTGTGCTGTACCTTGGTCTTCTATTTCAGTGCTTCTCATTGAAAAGTACCGCAAGTGTGGCTTCCTCAAGCTGTGGTTTGCTAGTGCCTTTAAAGGAGCAAGTGGCGTGAATCAGTCTCTGACCCCCATTGGACACCACCTGAAAAACCATCTCCAGTGGCTGAAAGTAGCAAACAGCATCCCTGCTGATATGCTCCAAGGTATCGCCCTGACTGGATGGCAAAGGTAAGGACTATCCTTAAAGCAATTGCATGGAATTTGTGCAAACAATTTCCCACCAAACAGTATGGCTACATCTACACTGGCCACAATTTCCGGAAAAGGGATGCAAATCAGGGGAAAAAAAGCGTCTAGACTGGCGCGATCCTCCGGAATAAAGCCCTTTTCCAGAGGATCTCTTATTCCTACTATCCTGACTTACCTGATTTGCATCCCTTTTCCGGAAATTGTGGCCAGTGTAGACGTAGCCTATCAAAATAGGCATCAAGAGATGTTCCACAGGAGCCAAAGTACTGCAGGGAATTCTGGAATACTGCAGTGCCTGATGTCGCTCACTCACAGCTCCTCCCCAAGTAACTGAGTAATGCTGATAGGTCTCATAAGGTTCCTTACAGTCCTTCGCCCCAGGCAATGGAGTGTGGAGGGAAAAACAAAGCTGTCCAGGCCTAAATCCAAGTGATGATTAATATTTGCTACACCTGGGAGTAAAAAAAATTCATGTTCATTCAATTACATTCATAACTAGTGATCTTGTATTTTGTAGCACAGGAGGTTAATTAGTAGAAATGTCTCTTGTTGGAGACACCTCCGATAGTTTGGTCTTATGGCAAACTGAAAGTTGGAGTTTCAGCCTTTTTAAATGCTGTTTTGTACCACGCTGAATTGAGGTATATTTTACTCTTCTTTCACGTTTCTGCAGATGCATGGAAGCCACTCTCCTCATCCTATACTAGTATTCAACCCCGACAGAACAAATCTAAGTAACTAAATGGCCTACAGACAGTGATTGTTTAAAAAGACCATTCCACAGATTCCCTTGAAATTTTTTGCACTCTGAGAGTACAAGTTATTTTTTATCGTTCACAGGAGCGGTTCCCAACCACCAGTCTGCGAACCCACGGTGGGCTCCGAACCCCTGCCTGCTGGGCTGCCACACACCACCAGGCCACACCCCTAGCTGCTAATGAGCCCCGCCCACACAGCAGCAGGGTGAGTGGCCTGGCAGTGAAGCTGTTCCTGCTGGGGCAGCTTCACTGTGGTCCCAATTCCAGCTCCAGTGGCCGCTATGGCACCCAGCTGGCAGGGCCATGTGATGGGCAGCTGCAGTGCTCGGCCAGGGCCAAGCTCCGTGTGGAGCCCAGCTACCACAGCAGCACAGCTTCACGTGGCGTTTGGCTCCAGCTGAGTCCTGCGGCCGTGGGGCTCCACACAGCACTCAGCCCCGGCCAATCGCTGCAGCTGTGCTTGGCAGGGGACCAGCTGCCATGGCCCTCAGCTGGGGCCAAGCGGATCCCGACTGCCACAGCACTCAGCTGGGGCCTGGCTGCCACGCTGCAGGCTCAGCACAGCCCTCCCACTGGGAGGCAGTGGCAGGGCTACATGAGAGGGGTGGGGCAGGCACAGGGTCTCTGGGGGCAGGGTAGTGCTGGCGGGCTCTGGGGGTGGGGGGGGCTGACACCGAGGGGGCTCCGTATCATCCAGAATGAGGAGCTGTCACTGGGGGGTTCTGGGGGTGGGGCTAGTAATAAGGAGGCTAGGGAGGCAGGACTGGTACAGGGGACAGGGCTAGTGTTGGGGGCTGACACAGGGAACCTGGTGGGATTAGGTGCAGTGGGGCTCTGGAAACAGGAGCCTGGCACTGAGGCGTTTGGGGCAGGCGGGCTGACACTAGGGGACTCTGAGGGCGAGAGGCTGGCACTGGGGGGATTGGGTGCAGGGGACTCTGGGGTCAGTGGCTGGCACGGGGGGGGTAGTAGAGGGATGAAGGGCTCTAGGGATTAGGGCTGGCACTGGGGCCCTAGGGTCGGGCTTTTTACACTATGCCAAAAGTTTGTGAATGGGTTTGCTAGACCAGACTGGTAACATTTTATTTGCATATTTGAATATTTATTGAAAATATGCAAATAAAATGTTACCAATCTACCAAAAGTTTGTGAGTGGGTTTGCCAGCCCCTGGTATTAAAAAGGTTGGGAACCATTGATTCACAGGATGAAAAATGTGAATGTAGCTTGAACTCCCAGTCCAGTAAATCTTTGAAAATGGGGGCTCATAAAAATGTGGTTAAACACTTAAAAGTATCTCCTTCTACAGGTTGGACCTCCCTGATCCAGCGCCTTCGGGACTGATTGGTCCTGGATGAGGGATTTTGCTGGACATGGGGAGGTCATTTCTGGCCCCCTTGTTGCCATCCTCACCCCCTTTCTACGGTTGCCAGGTGTCCGGTATTGACCCGGACAGTCCGGTATTTTCGCCTCCTGTCCAGTAAAAAAAATCAGAAAATACCAGACACCTAAAATGTCCTAAAATGTCTGGTATTTTCTGATTTTTTTTTCCCTGCCAGGAGGTGAAAATACCAGACACCTAGCAACCCTATGACACACTCAGCAACCGGGCCCAGCTCCCCAGACCCCCCCAGACCCCTCTCCGCAGGGGATCTGTCTTCTGGCTTGGAGCAGGAAAACAAGATGGCCTTGTCACGTTACTGGATCTTGAGGGGAGCAGCCAGATCACTGATGCACCCATAGGCTGGTTGTGTGGTTTGGGGGGGGGGGTTGTTGTTTTTGCTTAACAACTTTTTTCCCCCTCAACAGTGTTTTTTTGGGGGGCGAGGGCAGGGGGGTTCTGTATTTTTGGTTAAACCATCTGGCAACCCTACCCCTTTCCTGCTGCCCCACGGGGCTTCCCAGCTCCTTTAGCCACCCAGCTGGGTCGCACACTGTTCCCCTCTGGTTGTGTGGTTTGGGGGGGGGGGTTGTTGTTTTTGCTTAACAACTTTTTTCCCCCTCAACAGTGTTTTTTTGGGGGGCGAGGGCAGGGGGGTTCTGTATTTTTGGTTAAACCATCTGGCAACCCTACCCCTTTCCTGCTGCCCCACGGGGCTTCCCAGCTCCTTTAGCCACCCAGCTGGGTCGCACACTGTTCCCCTCTCCTCCCTCCCCCGCCCCCAGTAACCGAGCTGGACCATGTGCCAGCCTTCCTGACTCCCTCTTCCCCAACCCAACTCAGCTGAATTGTGCACCAGGCTTTCCAGCTCCTTCCTGCTTCTGCCTCCCCCAGCCCAACTGAGCTACAGCTCAGCTGGGCTGCATGCCAAGCTCCTGACTTCCTCCCCCCTCCATCACACTGGGCTCCCAGCCCTGCACCCCCATCCCTTGCAGCTCTCTGATCCTGGAACATCCATGGTCCTCTTGGGCCACAGATGTTGCTAGGGTTGCCAGGTGTCTGGTATTGAACCAGACAGTTCAGTATTTTCACCTCCTGTCCAGTAAAAAAAATCAGAAAATACTGAACACCTAAAATGTCTGGTACTTTCTGATTTTTTTTCCCCGGCCAGGAGGCGAAAATCCTGGGCTGTCCAGCTCAATGAGGAGTGAGCTTGGCAACCCTAGTGCTTACTGGGTTCCGCAGGGGAGCTGTCCGACCCAGTGCAGGGAGACAAGATGGCAGGTGGCCGCCAGCAGCCTGTTAGGGCCAAAAAGACACACCACGTGTATCTTAAAGGGGCCACGCTGTTTTTTGGTTTTGCTTAACAACTCTCGGGGTCCTATTTTTTTTCCGGTATTTTTTCTGAAACCATCTGACAACCCTATTGTTGCTAGACCAGAGAGTTCTGGTTTATAGAAGTGCAACCTGTAGCTAAAAGAGTAAACTACTGTGGTGATGATTTCAAACACCACAAATCTACATGAAGAAATTATTGTAAGTATAAGAAAGGAAAAAGGAAGGCTTTCATGGGACAGAGGTATGAGCTAAACTGGGGCCCAGAAATCCTGAGTTCTAAAGTAGGCCATGTCTACACTGCTGCTTTACTGCACTGCAGTTTTCTTGCTCAGGGGTATAAAAAAACCCACCCCCCGAGCACAGCAAGTTAGAGCTGTAAAGCACCAGTGTAAGCAGGCTCCCAGCACTGAGATCTATGTTCCTTGTTTAGATGGTTCACAGAGTACTGGTGCCAGCCATGCCTTCACTTTTAAAGTGCTGCCATGGCATTGCTTCAGTATTTTAAGTGTAGTCTGAGCCTCAGACTTGGACCTACCTGATTTGCCTTGGGCAGATTAAGTAATCTGTTTCTCAGTTTCCACATCAGTAAAAGGGGTGTCTTGGAAGAGGAGTTAGGATGTGTTTTAGTCTGAGATGGGTTAATGTGTATAACACACTGAGACTGTTGGATGAAATGTTAACAATCTGCACTGTTACAGCATTTATTTACAGCAAATCATTGAATGGACACTATTTATTTCAGGTATGACCACTTCTCTGTCTTATGCGAGCTTCTCCCAGTGGGAATTCCATCGCTAGCTGTCTCTCTGCAGGCATTACAGAACGGTACACACTGCCTGTATCATTTGTCAGAGCTAATACCTGTTTGACCAGAAAATTAACTGTGACTGAAGTTCTGTAAGATCAAACTACCTCTTAAATTTAACCACCCGTCTGTGATAATGAAAATTGTTAGATCACAAACAATGTGTTTCTAATCTAATTTTGGACGGGCATGACTAATAGCTGCTGTGGTTTCCACCCGTTGTGTGGTTGTATTCGTTTAATAAGAACCTTATTTCACTAATCCTTTTTTATTTTTGATTAGCTCATAACTTGACACTGATTTCTTCTCTCAACCATAATCGTTTTTAGCATTAGAAGCAATGAATTGTTTTTGAAACAAATATGCTTAAAATGATTTTTGACTCATTGCTCATGCAAAAATGAGATTGGTTACATGGACCACTTTTCACTCTATGGCCTTGTCTACACCCACACGTTATTCTGCTTAAACTATACCAATGTGGATAAAGGAGAACAGCCCCACTAATATGGGAGTAGCTTTACCAGCATAAAGGTACTGATGGGACGGGGCATAAACTATAGCAGTAAAAGGTATTTACACCTGTATAATTGCATCTACCCTAGCAATTTAATCAGTATAACCATTTCAGGGGGGAAAAAAGCCCCTAACCTGAATAGTTACACTAGAACACAATCAGCCAGTAAATTGGGCCTCAACCTGTAGAATAAGTTTAAGGCTCAATTCTGTCTTCTGCATTTCTTCTTTTGGGAGACTATATGGGTGGGGAAAGTAACCTCAGAAACTTTTCTTAACGTTAATGAATAGGAGTTTTACCTTTGACTTCAGTGGAAGCAGAGTTAAAATCCCTCCTTAATTGTACTGTAGCCATTTGTGCCCCCCTTTTGCCATTCAAGGCTTCACTTTTCTTCTCCTGTTTCTTTGGTTGTTCCTTTGTCCAGGTGGCTATTCTGAAAAGGTTAAAGAAAATGTGGAGAAACAGCTGGGGCTCTCCAATCTAGAAATTGACACTTTCATGAGGTAAAAGCCTCACTTGCTAGTCAGATGCTTCTTGATATACTACAGAGTAATTTTGGAGACTGACATATTCTCTTTGTACAGTGAAAGTTTAGGGACCTTTCCAGGGAGTGACATCCTCAAATTTGTGACTCAGATCTGTTTCTATCTGAAGCCCTCCGTGGATGAACTTCTTGAAAGAAACAGGTAATTAAAAAAAAGAAACGGTATTTTTGCTGTGACTCCTTGTAAGTGATGGGCCCATAATATACATAAATGGTGCAATAAAAGTTAAATTTGTTTCTCTAAGGTTGCTAATGCTCTTAGTTATTAAGCTTAGTTGGAAGTGAAGGATTACAGTACTCTCTGCTCTGAAATAGTGATCTCAGCAGAGAATACATTTATAGCTGGATTCAGCAAATTGCCCAAACATTTGCCTAAATCCATCCTTGTTTATCACAACACATGTTTAAAGTCTTTGCTGAATCAGAATTTTCCTGCTATTGAAGGCAAAATGTAATTTCTAAAACTTCCAGCAAGAAAAACATTAGTGTTTAAGTTAAAAGCAAAACATTGTGGCTTAGGAAACAAACTATCACTCTCAACCAAGTTCAATGGTGACACATAAAATGACAAATTGTACTCCCTAACATTAATTTAGCCTGAATTCGATCCATTCGATTACTGTGCAAGGGTGTCTCCAACAGTGTGAAGTAGATTCCAACTTAAACCACTTCTTACGCCTTAGTCTGGTTTGTAGTCATCTGTTCTAGTCAGTTAAACAGAAATTAAAAGGCACAGTGACTAGAGCCAAATCCCTGAAAGCTGCATGGAAACTTTTTAAAGACACCATAATAGAGGCCCAACTTAAATGTATACCCCAAATTAAAAAACATAGCAAGAGACCTAAAAAAGAGTCACCGTGGCTTAACCACCATGTAAAAGAAGCAGTGAGGGACAAAAAGGTATCTTTTAAGAAGTGGAAGTCCAATCCTAGTGAGATAAATAGAAAGGAACAGAAACACTGTCAAATCAAGTGTAAAAATGTAATAAGAAAAGCAAAAAAAGATTTTGAGGAACAGCTAGCCAAAAACTCAAAGAGAAATAACAAAATGTTTTTTAAGTACATTAGAAGCAGGAAGCCTGCTAAAAAACCTGTGGGTCCCGTAGATGATCGAGCTATAAAAGGAGCAATCAAGGACGATAAAGCCATTGCGGAGAAACTAAATGATTTCTTTGCTTCAGTCTTCACGGCTGAGGATGTTGGGGAGATTCCTGAATCTGCACTAGGCAAAGAACTCCACAGAATTCAAAAACTTGCCTGGATGATAAAACTACCTAGTATTGTTGTAATGAATAACAAAAACTTTGTAACAGACATTAAACTTCATGATTCAGGGGATTCAGCCTATGTCAAAACTACTAGAGATCAGGATAATATTTAGTGTGAGGACAGTTATCTGAGATCTGCCATCTGTGGGGTTTTTACATCTTCCTTAGAAGCATCCAGGACTTGTTACTGCCAGAGACAGGATACTGGAGTAGAGGGATGTCAAATCTGATCCAGTCTGGCAATTCCAGTAAGATCCTAATTTCTTAAATAAATTTGAGATATTTCTGTGGTTAATGCTCTTTGGCTTTTCCTCTCTTCTTGTTTGGGTTTAACTAGCTAATTTGTGCCTGATGGAGGAGCCCAGAGGCTTGACTGGCTTTGCTTCATTGAGTTTGGAAGATTTGTAACTACTGCATTCTTTCATATGAGAGAGGAAAAGGACATGGGAAAAGGGGGAAGAAGAAAATGTCTGAAGTCTTTATTCAGATTTCTAGGGAAACTCATTTCCCAAAGAAGAGAGATAACATGTATTTTGTTTTTCTCTGTGTTTTTGAATGTCCTTTGTCCTTCAAACTTTTCTTTCATTCCCCTTCTCCCTTCCTCCCACTGTTGATCTATTGTTCTTTCCCCTTTCTGTTTACATAGTGGGTTGCTGGACCAAACATTTCCTTCATCCATCTGATGATTCCATATTTTGCATTTGAGTCTTACTTCTTGAAAAGTGCTCCTGAACATGTATGTTTGCACACAAATGGAGGGTGGGTTGAGATTATTTTGAAAAACGCATCCTTAGGTAATACTCGAGGGCAGTATGATGGGGGCTAATTTGGCTATGACAAATCAGGAAAGAGATCTTGGAGTTATCGTGGACAGTTCTCTGAAAACTTCCACACAGTGTGCAGCGGCGGTCAAAAAGGCAAATAGGATGCTAGGAATTGTTAGGAAAGGGATAGAAAATAAAACCCAGAATATCTTACTGCCCCTGTATAAAACTATGGTACGCCCACATCTTGAATACTGTGTACAGATGTGGTCTCCTCACCTCAAAAAAGATATTTTGGCCTTGGAAAGGGTTCAGAAAAGGGCAACTAAAATGATTAGGGGATTGGAACGGGTCCCATATGAGGAGAGGTTAAAGCGACGGGGACTTTTCAGTTTAGAAAAGAGGAGACTGAGGGGGGATATGACAGAGGTCTATAAAATCATGAGTGGTGTAGAGAGGGCTGATAAAGAAAAGTTATTTATTAGTTCCCTAAATAGAAGAACTAGAGGACACGAAATGAAATTAATGGGTAGCAGGTTTAAAACTAATAAAAGAAAGTTCTTCTTCACACAGCGTGTAGTCAACCTGTGGAACTCCTTGCCAGAGGAGGCTGTGAAGGCTAGGACTATAATAGAGTTTAAAGAGAAGCTAGATAATTTCATGGAGGTTAGGTCCATAAAAGGCTATTAGCCAGGGGATAAAATGGTGTCCTTGGCCTCTGTCTGTCAGAGGCTGGAGAGGGATGGCAGGAGACAAATCGCTTGATCATTGTCTTCGGTCCACCCTCTCTGGGGCATCTGGTGCTGGCCACTGTCGGTAGACAGGATACTGGGCTAGATGGACCTTTGGTCTGACCCAGTACGGCCGTTCTTATGTTCTTATGTTATGTTCAGTCACTGCTGTTTCATGGAATATTTAACTGTGATGTATTTTCAGGTACATCACTGGCTGGTTCAGCCCCTTCCACAGAAAGAGGAAGCTTGTTCATCCTATAATGGTGCATCATTTTCAGCCAGATGCATTAAGGTAAATCAGCACTCCTTTGCAAGTTACGGGAAATCAAGCCTGTGTTTTAAACATTCTGTGAAAACTTGGTCTCCAGCCATTGCAGTTTTCCATAAGTGCTGCTTGAACACCAGCATTTGGAATAAGTCAGCATTAAATAATTTAATTGTTATAAAACAGTCAAACATGAAGTATGTAGATCTTTCCTAGAAGAAGTGTATCCTGATCTGAATTTGACTCTATGAAATGCAAGTATAGAATTATCCCAAAGGAAACTTTTGCTGTGTCACAGAAGTGAAACTAGTATAGTACTTTTAATCCACAGATCTACATATCGCTCTCCCCATTTTATAGATTGGGAAAACTGGTACTCAGAAAGGAAGTGGTATGATCTGTAATAGAATCAGATCCTCTGACTCCCAGTCCACTGGCATATGCAATTCATGAGTTTATTTAGTTAAGCTTAGCAAAATAAACTGACTATATCAGTGTTTATTTTTAAGCATTTATTTTTTCAATTGTATCTATTTACATTTTTACAGTCATGGGAAATCACCGCGGTACAAGAAGTCAGACAATAACCATTTGACAGACATTGACATTCAGCTAATTAAAGTTTTATAAGCCAGCTGATCACTTTTTTTTTAGTTTGTGTGTGTGCATGTAAATCCATATTTACTGATGTGTGTATGCATGTAAATCCATATTTACTGATTTGTGTGTGTGCAGTAAATCCATATTTACTGATAAACTAATCCTTCCAACCTATTTAAAGTTATAGTCTATTTTGTGAATTCATATGTTACACTGAATTTCTAACAAGAAATGAGTATACTCCGGTCATCTGAAGAAGTAGGTTTTGCCCACGAAAGCTCATACCATCTATATGTTTTTTTAGTCTTTAAGGTGCTACTAGATTGTTTCTTGTTTTTTAAGTTTTTACTAATTCAAAGTTAGGGTTCAAGTAAAAAAAAAAAAAAGTACAGTTCCTGCTTAACTCATCCATCTTTTGCCCCATTTTTGTAAACACTAATGGTGTGTCTAGACTACAGGGTTTTTTTTTAAAAAAAAAGTGGCCTTTTTTCGAAAAAATTTCCCCTGCATCTAGACTGCTGGTGTGTTCTTTCGAAAGTAAATCGAAAGAACATGGCAGTTTTTTCGACTATGGAAAACCTCGTTTGACAAGGAATTACACCTTTTTTCGAAAGTGCTCTTATGAAAAAAGGCGCTATGTCATGCAAACTGTGCTTTTTCGAAAGAGAGCATCCAGACTGCCTGGGTGCGCTTTCGAAAAAGCGGCTTGCTTTTTCGAAAGTAATTGTGGTAGTCTAGATGCTCTTTTTTGAAAGAGGCTTGCAGTCTAGACGTAGCCTAAGAGAGTTGCAGGGATTAGCAGCCCCCAAACATAAGGTACAGTCCTGCGGCATTCAATTCATTGCAGTCCTGTAAAATATACACCTTTTTCTGCAGAAGTGAAACTTTAAAGCTCCAGCACAGTACGCTGTATTCCATTTCTTCTCTGTAAAGGATCACCTAATGGTCTCATCTCATCTCTTTTATCATGACTTAATTGCAGATTAAGTAGATGCAGTTGGCATCCTTGTGAATAATAATACTTGTGAATAACATGCAATGCAACACGCTCTATTCACTTCTTCCTTTGGCTTCTGTTTAGTCTTCTAGCCAAGTGGAATGCTGTGATGCAGGAGCTTCAAGCAGCCCTTGAGAGAGTTTTCTACATGTGCACCGTAGAAGAGTGGATGGAGGAGAATGTCCATCCCAGCCTACATAAACTGCAGGAAGTAGTAGATGATTTAGACAAAGCAATACAAGCACAATCCTAACTGCTCTCACAAACTGCCAAATATCTTACTTGAGACCCTGGCTGGTATAAATTATGAACAACACTATAGCCAGAGCTTAAAGATGGAATAAAGTGGATCCACCTTCACTGAAGTTGAGTTGGGCCTTGTCCACAGCAAGGGATTTGCATCAGCACAGCTAGAATGACAAAATAATAAGATGTGGAGTTCTATCTTTACCGCCAACAAATGCTGAAACCAGTTACTGTAGTGTATGTACTTGACCAGACTTTTTACAGTGCATAACAATGAAAGCAAGAACGAGGCCAAGTTTGGCTGTGTTCCTCATAAGCGCTTTGAAATCCCCTCTCTTTTGTCCCTGTCCCCCCCACTCCCACCACCACCTCCCCTTACTGCCTCTGATAGAGGCAGCAGGGGAAAGGGAGCAACTAGTCGATTGTCCTGTTGACTATCTGATAAGCATTTGCTTATCGGATAGTCAACTAGTCCTTCACATACCTAGTGTCAACTGACTTCTGACACATTACAGACAGGGCATCAAAGCAGGAGTCAGTTGGCTTCAATGGACTTATAGAACTTGAAATGAGAGGTGGGAAGTGAATTTTTGGTAACATGCTAAACACTGACGTCTGGTTATTTGAGGAAATATTCAAATCACTACAGACATTCTTGAGTTAACTTCATAACTGTAAATCTGACTTTTGTTGCATCTACTTGCAAAGTTAGAAACCAATAAGTCAACATAAAGATACTCCTTGACCTTCTGTGCTTTAGATGAGGGCTCTGAATGGTTTATAAACAAGTTTGTTGTGTTTCATAGCTTTTGTAAACTGGTTAACAAGCATATAACAACTTCTGAGCACAAAATACGTCAATGAAAATCAGATACTCCAAGTGTGAATTTACAATAAACATTCAAAATACCTTTTAAAATGTTTGCTCCATTCATTGCTTTCTTGAAACATCTAAATATAGAGTTTAAAGAATGAGTATCATCAGCTCCATCAGAGCTCTGAGGTCAGAAGTTGCTCTATAGAACTTGCAGGTACTTCTACTCGGAGTCTTAGTCCTAAGCCCTTCTCCCAACTCTGAAGCCAGCGCACACTTCTGAGCACCACCAACCTCCATCACTCTCCAGATTTCTTTCCCTGGAGAACCTTTTCATACCAGGAGGAACTGGAATGTACAGACCTCCATGAAAACCCTTTCCTTGGCACCATTCAAACACTTGAAACTGCAATCCTCTCCGAATGAAGTCCAGTTAGACCCCCAGGTTTTGAGGCCAGCCCCTATGTCTGATGGTCCCACTCTCAGCCCTAGGAATGACACTACTCCAGACTTTGAGATCTCAGCACAGAGCTCTCTTTAGGAACTGTACCATCAAATCTACTCAGCCAATATACTGAAGAGGATCCTCACCAGACACCTTAGATCCAGTGGTTATGAGTAGAGTGTCAGTGGGGACACTTCCTCTATCAACTTCTCAGTGGAGTTACTAGGGATGTTAGTGTACAGCTGTTTAAACAATTAACTGCTAATCTTAGCCTTATCGTTTAATCCAAACGACTACACGCCTGCTCCCCCACTACCTCCCACAGAGGCAGCTCTGCAGGGGGCAAGTGAGAGCTGGTGGTTGGAGGAGCTGGCTTCAAGCCAGCTCTCCACAAGCACCAGATCCTGCAGAGCCCTCTCCTCCCTCTCCCCCGCCCCACGTGGCTGCCTCTGTATCAGTGTCTCAAAACATAGCAGAAAAGTATTCAAATCGCTTCAGACATTCTTGAGTTGTTAACTTCATAACTAAACATCTGACTTTTGTAGCATCTACTTGAAAAGTTAGTATCAGAGGCAGCAGTGCAATTTGGGGGGCAAGTGGGATGCTGGAGCAACCTCTGTCCATGGGGAGTTTGGGCTCCCAATAGCCTGGGGCTGCTTCTGCCTGGTGCTACTGCCTCTGTATCAGAGACAGCAGCACAGGGCAGCAGGCAGGACCTAATCTGCGCAGGTAGATGATTTTTAAGCTGGCTCCCCTCATGGACTGGCTCTGCCTGTCACCTCACACTGGTGCCTCTGTATTAGAGGCAGCAGTGCAAAGTGGTTGGGGGCTCCCCAGGAGTGGGGCCAGAAGTGAACTCGCTGCTGATCTCATCCCTGGGGAGTATTTTAGTAATTGTGTAATTGCTGAAAGTTGTTGAGGCTACACAATTACTAAAATACATGATATCTAACATCCCTACCCAGTACTACATCACTCACTGGCACCAAATGACTAATCTTTGGTCCTGAATGATCACTTTCCAAAACTTTGTCCCTTCAGCACTGGAAGACACTCAAGAATTGTAGGACTCACAGATTGAGGGAGCCTTGCCCCCAGCAGCAAATTCTTCATCCTCGCCACAATGAGGCAGTAATACCCCAAAGTGTGGGGGAGTTATCAGGCCCTGCACCCCCATCCAGTCAGAAAAGACTCTCAGCCAGCAGGTAGAAGAGAAAGTTTATTAGTCAACAGAGATACAGCATAGAACAGACTTGACAGCACAGAAGCCAAAAGTGACCAGTACAATCCATCTTTGGGAGATGGGAGGCCAGGGCCCTGGTCCTCTCTCTGCATCCCAAGCTAATCCTGAGAGACTTACTCTCAAGATTTGGGGCCCAGCTCCCAGGCAGGCTCCTCCTCCAACCTTTGTCCTGCTTCCCGGGCAAAAGGTGTCACATGATCACACCCCCTCCCTGCCTTGGGCTACAAAGGGTATCCACTACTGCAGTGTTTCTTAAATTGCGTTCCATGGCACACCAGTGTGCCGTGAGGGAGTTGGAGGTGTGCTGTGGAGAACAGAGTTCAAAATGGCCACCTTTAAAGGGGCTCAATAAGTTTTCCCCCGACCTTTTTTTTTTTTTTGCTCAACAAAAAATCCTGGGTGTTCCTCATAAAAAAAATTGTTTGGTGTTCCTTGGTCTTAAAAAGTTTAAGAAACACTGCACTACTGTGTACTGAGGGAGGTTATCACACTGAAATTCATATCACCATCTAGGTTGGTGCAGTGCCCAAGGAAACTGAGGCACACACAGCGTTACTACAGGACAGTAGGAAGGAAATGCAATACGAATGTTAAATATCTGCTAATCAACTAATCGAATAGTCGATGCATTTTGCATCGACAGGGCGATAGGGCTGTTGCTACACTTCAAAGGCGAAAGCGCCACATGGAGTCTGGGATCAGCTGGGGACTCCAGCTCATTCCGGGCTCCACACACCGCTGCCACTTTTAAATGCTGCAAGGTGCCTGGCATCTGGCTCCCCACAGTGTTTCAAAGCAGCAGCACCACACAGAGCCTGGGATCAGCTGGGGACTCCTCCCGCTGACCCTGGGCTGCACGCAGCACTGCCACTTTGAAACGCCAGGAGCCTGATGCTGGGCTCCCCATGGTGTGTCAAAGCAGCAGCACCGGGTGCAGCCCAAGATCAGTCGGGGAGTCCCCAGCTGATCCTGGGCTCCACACGGCGCTGCAGCTTTGCTGCATGCAGCCTGGGGACACCCCAGCTAGCCCTGGACTGCACACGGCGTTTCAAAGCGGCAGCGCTGCATGGAACCCAGGGTCTGGCCCCAGGCGTCAAGCAGCACTGTCATTTTGAAGTACCCCCTCCGCTTCTTCCCCCTTGCTGCCTCTTTCTGATAGAGGCAGCAAAGGGGAAGGGAAAGCGACTAGTCAAGTAGCCTGTCGACTGTCTGATAAGCATTTGCTTATCGGATAGTCGACTAGTCCTTCACAGTCCTAAAATGCAACATAAGGAGAATAAAATCCTCATTTCATCATACCCCCGAACCAGTCTTTTAAGCTGATGACATTTAGGCCTTTGATTACCTCATGAAATACCTATCAGAATCCCTCTAGATCTTATTAAAAGAGGTCCCAGAGCCCCAATGCTCCTTGGTGGACATTTTCAACATCACTTTTCGGGGGAAACCACAATTAGACTCTATTATTGCTGGCTCACAATGTCTGAACACTTGCCCATGAAGCCCATCCATATATACAGGCAGATACAAAAATATTATAATAATCTGACAGAGCTTTTTTTCCCCTCCCACCTCACTCCAAGTTCTCTGCTGGTAGACATGGATGATGAAAGAGACAGACCTACTGACCAAAGCAAGAATGGTACTTGAACTCCCTCTCCATCACAATACCTCTCTGCCTTTTATTGAGAAGGGCTGTCCTCCAACTAAAGTCTGGGACCCTGATCTATCCCTCTTCCTTGAACCTGACACCATGGTTTACAGATGGTTCTCAAGCATGGAGCTAATCGTTGCAAGAGAGATGCAATCACTTCTCCTATCTAGAAGGAAATCCAGAATTCAAACATACCTTCAAAGGTATAAACACTCCCAATCCTAGTACTGTCTTTTGCTCTTCTCAAGGATCAGAAGTTCTGCTCTCCAACATCCTACATTTTGTGTTGCATTTAAGACACAAGATCTATCAGTGAGGAAAGTGAGTACAGTTAGCTGCTATCTCAGCCTTCACTCAACCATCAAAGCTCTCTGTCTTTGCCAACCCTGCTACAGTCAAATTCCTTAAGGTTTTACACAACTTGTTTCCCTCTGTATTGATCCCACACTCCCCCACCCTCATGGAACTGCCTCCACAGAACCTTACATTGGTTCTCAGTGCCCTAAAGAAATCTTTGAACCAATGGCCAGCTGTTCTCTTCTCCACCTCCACCTCTCCCTCAAAAGCCTTATTCCTATAGCCATCACTTCAGTTACACAAATGGGAGGCTTCGTCCTCTCACAGCAGACCCACTAGTTACTTCCTTCTGCAGCAGTATTTATTAAACTTTTTAAGACCAAGAAACACCAAACAATTTTATGAGGAACACCAAGGATTTTTTGTTGATCCAAAAAAAAAAAAAGGGGCCATTTTGAATTCTGTTGTTCTCCGCGGCACACCTCCAACTGCCTCGCGGCACACTGGTGTGCCACAGAACACAGTTTAAGAAACACTGTTCTTCAGAGATAAGATTACACTGCATCACCATCTTTGAGTCCTCCCTAAAGTTTCAGGATACCATATTCATTAAGAAGTCCATCTAACAGTGTTCTAACCAAAGCCTCATGCCTCCAGAGAGGAAAGCAGCCTACACACAGTAGATATCAGAAGGACTCTTGCCTTCTAGCTTGACAGACTAAGACCTTCCAGGCTGTTTGTCTTTACATAAAGACCAACTTTACATAAAGGATTGTGACGGGGCAGCCCCCTGAGCCACTCCGAACAAGCGCTGCTCGGCGTTCGGGGGGGGAGGCCAGCACGGGAGTGCGTGGCTTGTACGCAAGCCACGCCAAGGTTTAAAGAGCCGGCAGG